AAATTGTTAAAGGAAAAATGAAATTAAAATGAAATCTTCACACAAAATAATTGTTTGTGAAAACTAATAGTGGATGTGTCCTCGTAAGATATATTTTTCTCAAAAACAAAACTACTTACTTAACTCCTTATTTGCAGGCAATAGTAGCAAGTACTTACCTAACGCCTTATTTATAAGCAAGCGTATAAGTACTTGCATCCAACGTCATTAGCGTGTGCAAATAATGACTTGTAAGTAAATTTTACAATTTTAACCACTTAAATTCCAATGTAAGTTTATGCTGTCTTCTAATATAATTCGTGATGAATCTCGTTAATGTAAAATCGAAAAATATAACAAATTGATTTTCTACTATTTATGAAAATTAGGCAAACTATCTTGAGAAAAACCTAAAATAGGTGGAATCACCCTAAATTCTAATCGAACTAGTTTTTCGGTTTGTTTTCTTCAATTCAAAATATCGACAGCTTCATTGTTCTATAGAGTCTTTATTTTTTTCTACCATTTCCTTACTCACTTCTCGCCACTTTAAGACTTAAATGTTAAATAATAAAATACTTATTTTCCAATGAAGGGAATGAAGAAGTACTCCAAAAAAAATAGAATGTATTTCTTTTTTTTTTTTTTTTGTTATTCCACATAAAAATGGACAAAAACGACATCATTCTTTAAATGCTAATGCTATAATCCTAACAATTTATGTTTTGCAAATAAATAACATATTTTGCTCTTCATTATTCTGATGAAAGAAAAGACGAATGAAGAAAATAAAAAAAAAAAATAAATAAAATAATAATAGAAACCAAAATAGAACAATTTGAAAACTGAGTATTATTGTGAGATTGTATAAATGGAATAAGTAATTTATTTAACAAATAAAAACTATAAAGAACAAAAAAACCAAATAGAATGAGGAATTGGATTATATTGAGAGGCCACAACCCAGTAAAGTGTTATAAAAAGTAAAATTAAGTATAGAAAATAAAACCAGAAATATTTAGATTAACTTTCAAAAACTCTGATCTGTCACAAATTTCGATTTAAAAAAAAATAAACAATTAAATTTTTTAAATTTTGTTTTTAATTTTCGAAAACTTTTGCTGGGTTTTAACTTATAAAAAACTAGAAAATACATAATTCATCAGAATTTATAGTTTTTCAAATAAATGAAATACAAACAAAATTCTTAGATTTTCTTTAAAATAAAGTCAAACTACTAGTAAAAATAAAAATGTATTTATTGAAACTAATATTTTTGCTAAAGTGAAATAACCCAGCAAAAACTTATGTTGAAAATTAAGGGGTTAAAATGCTAAAATTTACTTACAATTTACGCTTACTTTACTTAAGTCATGATTTTAACACGTATAACATCGGCAGCAAGTACTTACCACGTCCTCTCACAAGTGAGGAGTTAGGTAAGTACTTACTCGATCGCCCGCAAATAAGGAGTTAAATAAGTAGTTTTTTAAGAAAAAAAATTGCCTATGAAGATACGTTCACTGCGTCTGCTATTAACTTAGGCTTAGGCTAAAAAGTAAGTACTTTCTTAAATAGTTATTTGTAAGTTATTACTAAACTTCTTCTAAATAATACAGATGGTATGTAGTACTCATTGTAAAGTAAGTTTACATAAAGTCATGTAAATGTCATGTACGTGCGTCTACTATTAGCTTAGGCTTAGGCTAAAAAGTAAGTACTTACGTATATAGTTATTTGTAAGTTATTACTAAACTTCTTCTAAATAATACAGATGGTATGTAGTACTCATTGTAAAGTAAGTTCTTAAGTAAGTATAAAGTCATGTAAATGTCATGTACATGCGTCTACTATTAGCTTTGGCTTAGGCTAAAAACTAAGTACTTACGTATATAGTTATTTGTAAGTTATTACTAAAATTCTTCTAAATAATACAGATGGTATGTAGTACTCATTGTAAAGTAAGATCTTGAGTAAGTACAAAGTCATGTACATGTTTTTACTGGGTAATTAAGACTTATAAAGAAAGTAATGATGGAAAACACCGACTGTTTGGTGCTCTATAGCAGTGATTACCTAACATACCTTCATGGCACAAGCATTAATTGGCTTTTCTTTGACATAGAATATGTCCAGAACTTTGACCCCAGATAGAATGTCAGTGTCAAGTGGAATCCGTTGCTGTACGGTTGGTTCTAAACGCGGGTACAAAGCAGGTTTGGGATTCCAGGCAGAAGTCCGAGCATTAGTGGAATGCTTATATTGGATAAGAATAAATATGGTGCCCACAGAGGCTATGGTGCCAACAGAGGCTGTAAGACAGTATTGGATTGGAAGAAAGCGTTAACTGAATATTCTCCTAAAGGTAAGGTTTACATTATATAGATAACAGGCCATTCGGGAGTAATTGGCAACGAATGAGCGAATGTTAATGTTTATAGCTTTAAAGGGAAGGGAGTTAGCCTGACGTAGGCAAAACCATTCGCCCATAAAGCCTCTTGGAATAATTAAACGACCCTAACAAGAGCAGGACGGGAAGCCTCCTGTTGTTAGGGTCTACTTGTATTTCTTTGTATTTGAAGTACTAAGTATTAGGGTTCTATAGTTGAAACGAAAAGTCAACTTTTCGACTTTTTTCATTTAGTTAAAAGTCGACTTCTCGACTTTTTGCATTTTATGAAAAGTCGACTTTTCGACTTTTTTCATTTAATTAAAAGTCGACTTTTAGACTTTTCGACTATAAGTATTTTATAAATAGTCGACTTTTCGACTTTTTCCGACTTTTCGACATTTTTCGACTTTTCGAATTTTTTCGACTTTTCGACTTTTTTCGACTTTTTCCGACTTTTTGACTAGTTTCGACTTTTTTTCGACTATTTTTTGACTTTTTTCGAGTTTTTCCGACTATTTTAGAGTTTTTGACTTTTTTCGACTCTTTTTAAGATTTTCGACTATTTTTGACTTGTTTCTACAATTTTCGAGTTTTCGACTTTTTCCGACTTTTTTCAACTTTTTCCGACTTTTGGACTTTTTACGACTTTTTTCGACTTTATTCGTCTTTTTTCGACTTATCGATTTTTTTCGACTTTTATTGACAAAGTCGACTTTTCGACTTTTTTTTTTTTTTTTTGGAACAAAATAGTCGACTTCTACTTTTCGACTTTTTTCGACAAAAAGTCGATTGTTCGATTATTCGAAAGTCGATTTATAGAACCCTACTAAGCATACATCCTCTTGTCAACGTAACCTATATATTACTTTATAGGGTCGGAGAATAATATTATGGAAACTAATGACTTTGAATGAATGCAGGACCTTACTGTTACTTACATCATACATATGAAATTCCTCCAAGGATGGTCTTATAAAACAGAACAAAAATTTTTTATTTAGTTTAAAATGACGATAAAGGGGCCAGACTAAAGTTCATAAAATTGTTTTACAGTTATAATTGCATTACTCTTATTTTATGCATGAATACTTATATAGACTTTACAAAGTGTTTAGTATTAAATAAATCACATAAAGTTATTTTTATATTTAAATACATAGAAAAATATGTATATTTATAGAAATATTTTCAATAACATTACAACTAAATATGTACAACAAATCCCCCAGCAATTAAACACTTGTAATTAAAATCAATCAAAACATATTATATTCAT